GAGACGAGCAAACATTTCTAATACTTTTTAACTTGGTAAACAAGCAATGTCTTGCAATACGAGTAGTTTGTTTCCAGAACAAATTATGGTCGCAAACCAAGGTATTACCGTACAACTTCTAAAATATTCCATAATCTTATTTCCCCACACAGGTAATCACTTTAATCAGTTCCTTGTTGATCCTTCCAAGTGTTTCATTATAAATCAGTATGTCTTAGTGCGACAGTTCTTTCCCTTTCTCTCTTTTTAAACAGCTGCATGGGTTTCACTGCATGGATGGATGTTCCAGTGCCCTATTACTGGACACTTGGGTTGCTCCAATCTTTGGCTATGATAAATAATGCCAGAATGAGTATCTTGTACATATATCATTTGAAATAAGTGTAAATGTATCTGCAAATTTAAAATATAGTGCTATATTTCCCTTATAATGGGTTACACTATTTTATGCTCTCATCAGTAATATATGAGAGTGCCTTCTTACACTCTTACCAAGAAAGGTGTTTTTAAATTTTTGGTTGTTGCCAATCTGGAAAGTGAAAATGGAGGTCCAGAGGAATCGTTCTGCTTTGTCACATAGCTTTTGGAATTACATTCTAAATTACATATTATTAATCAGACACTATAATGCCTTCTAATTTATCTGAGTTACGTAAATGAAACCATAAAAAAGTACAATGTTAAAGCGTGTGGTAGATTGTTATTAGAGTTTTATGGATAGTTTAGTCAGAAATGCTTCATGAAGATGGGGTTTAGATCTGGTCTTGAAGCGATGGCAAGGATTTATATATATATAAGGAGATGTGAAGCTAGTATTTTTCCATTTTAAAGGGTAAAAATTTTCATTCTCATCATGCAAGAGAAATAGACTTTCATGCGTACCTGATTTCAGCTTTTCTTACTTCAGATGTCTCTGTAAACACTATAATTGGAAGGGCTAAGTTAAGAAAACAATTTTTGTAGGCTTCAAAGGGATAGCCACCAGCTACTTTGATCATCTCCAATGTAACCTAGATAAAAGAAGGTGATCTTATTATATAAACAGCCTAAAACTATTCATGACTTTAACCGTAGCTATTTAATTTCCCTAAATTCTTCTCAAGCATTTCCCTATAAAGATAAAAGCAACTACTGGACTGGAGTAATATAAATTTCTTCTAACTCTCTCCACTTTTAGTATATTTTATACTTTCAAACTTTACAACTGTTCTATACATGAACAATGTTATTAAAAAATATATTAATTTGACCATGTAATCTTCCTACCTTGAAAGTAGACACCAGAACTCAAGAAATACTATAGTCTAAAATCATTTAATATAGGAGCAGATACTTACACAGGTTCTAAGAATAATACTATAGTACAGTATAACAACCAGGGCCATCCTAAAGATTCTGAATCATAAAGGACAGGTAAAAATGTAAGAAATCTGATCACAAACAGGAATTACATTTTTATTAAGGCAAAGAACTAAAATTCAATATAATCAAAAGCAAAGATTAGGGCAATTCATTTAATTCAAGAAAATAGGGCACCTGCTTTGTATAGAGGACACAAAGACGATTAAGGGGATTATTGCCTGTAGGAAAATTAGACTCTATCTTGGCAGCTTATTTTTATGTTAAAATGTTTGTATATCTGTAAAACCTCAAAATGTAGATTTTTAGAAATATTTTCAAAGTTTAAACTGTAAGATCAATATGTATCCCTCCTTCTCTAAAATTTTTTAATGAGTGGCTGGTTGGGAACACTATAATGGGGGAAACAGGAAAGACATGATGAAAAAAAAGCATTTTCATTCAAAAAATAATAAACTCACCAAGCCAGACACTGCAGCAGTGGATGTTGCTATAGCAGGTATAATTTTACCAGCTAAGCGCTTTGTTTTGAAACGGTCAGCTGGCTCAATGCTATACATTTTGGCACGAAGGTTTGATGCAGCTGTGATGAAATCTATGTGCCCATTATGATCATCATCTTTTTCAAATGCAAGCACTGCCATCTGAAGGTCACCTGATCATAACAACCAGAAAAAACAGTTTCCTAGTAAGTGGTAAAGGTTTTACTAGATAAAAAGCAATGTTGGTTCACTACTTTTTTTTTTTTTTTAAAGCGTTTATTGGGGAATCGGGGAAGGGGAACAGACAAGTTGCTGTCCTTTTTTTTTGTTCTTCAGTCTAGCTGTGGAGGACGTTGCTGGCCAGCCCCACTGCAGCCTACGCCATCGCCAGCAACACACCGCAGCCCAGCTCCAGGTCGAGCTGTTCCCTCATGTGAGATCCAAACAGGGTTCTGCTGCTCAGAGCTGGTGTCCCAAGCCAACTCTTAACCAACGTGCCACTTGGCCGGCCGTGGGTTCACTACTCTTAAGGACATCAGTCATGTTTTGTTTTTAAATGACTGAAAAGTACAAGAAAAATCCAGGGAACTGAAGCTATTGAAAGACATATAATGGGTTTAATACCACTAAAATAGAGAAGTTTCTACATTAAAAAAAAGCCTTTATAAAACTAACAAAGCCATGTACTACATCTGGTATTAAGTGGTTTATAAAACGGTTGTTTGTCCTGAATTTTACTGATCTTTGCATAAAACCAAAAAGTTTGGCAACTGCTGATTGATGTAATAAAAAAGTGGTAGCAGGTATAAAAACATGAGCTAATAGCTCTGTTTTTAAGCATGAGCTGATAGCTCTGTTTTTAAGGAATTAAAAGTTTGGTTTCCCCATATTTAAGGTCAAGGATGTATGTAGGTCAGTTTGTATTCTCTATGTGCAATTATGGGAACTAAGAAGCAGAGAAAAAAAATGTCTATGCTTTTTTATCCTAAAATGACTTAACTGGGTTTGTCTAATGGTTAGTCTCACAAGGACTCCACTGTTTGTTCATTATGTTAACCATAAGTATAATTTCAAGGACTAAAACAATCAGAACAAAAAAACAGACTTACATTTTAGCCTCGGAGGATAGGACAATGGTGGGGAAAATTATGAATTTAGTCACAGTTAAAGATGAACAGTGCCTGTCATATGATCATGAAATCAATTACTATCATTGTTATTGTTGTTGTTATTTAATCCCACAAGCTTTTGATGTAAAACTTAGTAAAAAAAAAAAAATCCCTCCAGTTCAAAACATTTTAATAAAGCTCACTTTTGGTAGCTTCATTAGATGAAATAGCCTTTTCTAGTTGGAAAATAGCATTCCTCTCATCTTCACTGCTGATAGGAACATGGTCTGGTTTCCTTGCTGTTTCATCTGTTTGAACAACCTTTAAATATACGAATATATGTTCATTAATGTTATCACAATCTGTACCTAAATTTGGTTACCATATCTGTTTTATCAAATAGGACACAGAGAAAACATTCCCTCTATCTAGTTTAATCAGATTATTAATCATCATGGTCCAAAGTATTTTACATCTTCCCTTAGTAGGTAGTNAATTTTAAATTCCACTAATCAATACAATTCAGGACACACACTGCAATCTCATCCAGGTAGTATATAGATAGGAATTCTAAATACTAACCTTAATTTATCCAAAAAATGAAAAAAATAAAAAATAAAAATATAAGGCAAATTAATGCCTTAGTTAATAGTAATATTTTAAAGTATAGCTAATTAAGACTGGATTATAATAAAAAATAGTGAATGACCTCATTAATTGATAATTATAGTTAAAGCTGACATATCTATTAAAGCACCATCATGCAGAGGTTCATTTATTCATATGACAAATATTTATTGATGCCTATTATATGTCAGGCATTGGTCTAAATTCCAGAAATACATCCGTTACCAGATCAAATAAAGATTCCTGCCCTTGTGAAGCTAACAGTCTAGTGAGGGGAGACAGATAATAAATAATAAATTTAAAATGTCTAGAAGCTGTAAGACAGTGATAAGTTCTACGTGAAAGAGAAAAAGTAGCGCAAAGGAGATTGGACAAGCTAGGCTGGGATTGGAGTGTTAAACAGGGACCAGGGAGGCCTTTGCAGGAGGTGCAAAGACGGGAGCTGAGTTAGCTAGGCTGCCGCCTCAGAGAGCTCCAAGCTGAGGAAACGACTAGCACAAAGCTCTCATGCTGGAGCGTGACAGGACAGTTCAGGAAAGGGAAGGAGGCCAGTATAGCTAGAATTTTGTGAGCAAAGGGAGATTAGTATGAAAGGAACTTAGAGGGGTAATGCAGATCTTTTAGGACCTTGCAGACCACTGTCAAGACTCTTTTTTGGTTCCCTTTCTTCCTTTAGGTCTCTGCTCAAACGCTATCTTATCAGGTATTCCCTGACAGGCAGGGGGAATACCCAAACCACTCAATATAATATACTGTTTTCCCAAAAATAAGACCTAGCCAGAAAATAAGCCCTCGCATGATTTTAGGTGCCAAAATATGGCAACTTGGCATACTGAATATTTTAAGCTGAAGGTGTTTGTGGAAAAGGCACCCTTCTCCCTGAAACAGGTCATAAAACCCTCATGTGATGGGTGCGTGCCCTCCAAATCCTGGAGGAATCACGCTAGGGCTTCTTCCCCGGCTAGGTCTTATTTTCGGGGAAAGGTGGTAGCAACTTACCCCCTTACTCTTGCTTTATTTTCTCCACAGAACTTAACACCATCTGACATACTTGTCTAGTTGTTATGCAGACTCCTCAGGCAGGACAGGGACTTTGCTTTGCTCACTGCTGTATCCCTAACGCTTAAAAAAGTACCTGGCACACAGCAGACACTTAAAAAAAATCTGTTGAATAAATGAATGAAAACAACAATTTGGTATTTTTTTTTATACTTCGGTCTCATAATCCTGGTCATTATGTGTTTCTGAGAGATGGATCTATTTTCACTTGGTGTATTGACCAAATCAGCTTTCTAAGCCTCCTGGCTGAAAAGCTAACTCTGAACTGCAATAATTTCACAAGGGTATTATAATCCTATGACTCTCTCTTGAGAGGTAGCCTACTGAGCTTGGTACATTCACCGTCTTTATTACTGCCATTAGGCGTAAATCACATACTTTTATCTGAATTTTGATAACCTCTACCTCTAATCTTCCAGCATGCATCCAGCTTATATGTTTCAACTCTTGTGACTCTTGCATATGTTTGATACTTACGTTAATTTCAATCTTTTTGCATGACCAGGCATTACAGGAACATAAAGCATTTTGACACCTTGTACCACCATTGTTGGCTCAATTCCGTACTTCTCCTAAAAGTGGATCCCCAAAAGAGAAACAATCAAAGCTCCATTCAAATATAAAATGTTGGGTGACAGTGTTTTACAACCAGTAAAAAGAGAACAAACATCTGCTAGGTATTAATAAAAACCTCCAATGAAATTATGCATAAAAAGTAACGGACTCAAAGCAACTAAGTGAATAAGCGCCTCACTTTGACTGCGTTTATGAAATCCAAGAGGGTGAAATCTTCTTTTCCATGTATAGTCCATCTGTCCCAAATCGTAAATGATATTCCATTTCTGTTGTAGAAAAATATTCAGAACAAANTAAACCAATCCTGTTCACTTGTCCCCACCTTCCAATGCACACATTATCCTTTAATCATGCAAATTCGCCCTCTAAGTCTCAAATAAATACATTTTTCCAACTGGATGATACTTTTACAAAAGAATAATACAGCTGGTTGAAAAGTAATTTAAACTATTTGTAAATGAAATAAAAAGGAAGATTAAGTAGAAGGTATATAAGAAGACACCAAATGGGAGTAATACTGATGTGAATTTAGTTTTTAATTTATCGAAGTACCTATTAACGGTCTGAAGACCAGAGAAGAAAAGCAGCTAGAGGGAAACGACTTCCTGTGGTAATGAAATGCCAATTGCTTTAGAATACATGATAGTTTTAGAAATAAAAGAAACACTTGTTGTTTGCATTGAGTTTATAGTGTTGAGTGTACTTCAGTTATTTTAATGAAAGCACTTATATGAACATCTGCAATAGCTAATAGCAGAAAACAGAAAGTTTGTATCAATAAAGACCTAAAAAAATAAATTTTTATCTTCGTCAACTCCCTTTCTGGGAATGCAGAATAAAATAATACATTCCTCTTTAAAATAAAATATTAAATTTTTTTCTGTCCAATACGTTGCTGGAAGAAAAAACATCAAGACTCAACTAGTAATGATTTTTTAATTTCTAGTTTTCACCTGTTTTTAAAAAATACTCCCTTCACAAAACCTTTCAGTCTTATGTACTATGACAATCAGGTTTAGAGTTCCAAATAAATAAAACAGCCGCATTAGAAGGCATATTGAAGAACAAACGATCAGCCACATTTCTCTGTTCACATTCATGGATTCTCTCAGAGGTTTGTCAGAGTCCATATAATACTGTTAACATTTAGTCCAAGTTAACATGTGTCATCTGATCTCACTACTCATGGCTTACAACACTGATGCTATCAACAAAGATCCTGATTTTTAGGAGACAGTGATGTAACAAACTCTGGTTAAACCAGCAGAGGTAACAAGACAGTAAACCCTAACTGTACAACTTAAAAACGTTTACTCGTCATCGACCGATACCATCCCTCCGCTTCCCACTGGTGTTAAATTCAAAACCTAATCACGAGAGGTACAGGGTGCCCAACGCTATTTGTATAGAAAACTGGACCTCAAATACTAAATAAGAAATTCATAAAATAGGATTAAATTGTTTGGACAGTTGCGTTTGTTACTTTCAATTTCTTAATCTGTTCTTCTGGTCATGGATACATATTTTTTCTTTCTATTCAGACAGCGAGGTTAATACACAAATTTGTTGTAAGCATTATAAAATGGCATTCCAGTTCAAAGTTGCTTGTGATCATATCCACATATGAATCACTAGACAAGTGTATACAATGCTTCAAAATGTTGTCTAATTCTTCAGTGTGGTTTCCTACTAGTATTTCCCTTAAATTAAGGCTTCCTTGAAGAAAAATCCATAGTATTATGAGCTGATTTTTTTAGCTTCTGAATTAAGTGCATTCTTTCCAAAATCAAGTAGTCCTGGAGTAACTTTAAGACAACTTCTATTAATCAGTGTCATGACTAAAGTAGTATCTTACTGGAGGTCCAGGCAAATCTTCATCTCCATCAGTGTCTGGAGCAAATGACACAGTGAGATCCACATATTTCTTTTCAGTAGAAGGTTTCACAAGTTTATGCATNTAATTTCAGATTTGGGAATTATTAAACAGACTATAAAATAATAATGCTTTTCATGTTCAGGTAGACAAAAGACTGAAAATTTCAGCAAGACAACTGGAAACTACAAGAGTGGCAGATTTCCATATTTACAAATAGAAATTTTGAGAACTGAAAATACAAAGGGCTAAGAATAACCAAGGTACTCTTACAGACAAATAAATTGGGAGGACTAGTTCTGCCAAGTATCAAAAACAATGTATCAGCTACAGCGATGAAGACAGTATATACAAGCATAGTATAGAAAAGTAGAAACAGAAAATTCAGAAAAGAGATGATGTGTGACTTTGGTGGCAGTGCAGAAGTGATACTGCAGAAAAGAATGGACTTTAGTAAATGGTGGTGAGGCACTTCTCAGAATACAAAATTAATTCCTTGTGAATTAAAAACTTAAATGTGAAAGGCAATACTAAAGCTTTTAGAGACAATATAAAGGAGTATCTTCATGACCTTTGGGTACAGAACAATGTTTTAAACAATTCACAAAAAACTTCTCAGTAGCTACTAACAAATTTTTTATCCAAGAACATCATAGAGAAAGGCAAGCCAGAATGGGAGAAGATAATTTCAACTGTATAGCTAACAAATAACAGCATTTATAAAGATCTTTTACAAATAAATGAGAAAAAAAAATGCAAACACAACAGAAAAATGGGCAACGATTTGAAAAAACACTTTACAAAAAATCAAAGTGGCCAACAAATTTATGAAAAGGTCTTCAATTTCATTGTTAATTAGGGAATGCAGAGTAAATCTTCAATGAGATAGAACCATGCATCCACCAGATTGGCAAAATTTTTCAAAATCTGTTAACACCAGTGTTGAGCAAGATGTGGACATCTCTATTGCTCAGGAAAAACTTTGTTATTATCTAATAAGNAACACATAAAAACCACAATAAAAACCTAAAATGATTTTTGAAAGCAATGTTTTCAAAAAAGGAATTCTCCTATACTCCTTATAAAGTTTGGAGGTATCATAAATATACTCAAGCATGTCTCTGTAAAGAGTAAAAAGCAAGAGAGATTTAAATCTTCAAATGCAAGCTGGAAATGTCACAGTAAAAGGCATTCTTATTTCCCTTATATCCTATGTTTATCCTACTTACTAAAAAACC